TTCCGAATTCCTCCAACTCTCCGTCTAACAACTCTCCTCTGCTATTTTTAACTGTCAAATCCATTCGTTCCCTAGGTTTTCTCAACTTGATTAATCTCACTACAAAACTTTTTCTTATTCTCAACAAAATTTGTTGATAACATCTCACCTTCCATCTTATTTGCTCTTGTTTTACATTCCTCCACCACTCTTTTACCCTTTCTTTTTCTCTCCATATATTCCTCCTTCCTTGTATCACTTCTACTTTGTAAAAATTTCTCATATGCTAACTTTTTCTCTCTTCCTACTCTCTTTACCTCATCATTCCACTACTCTTCTTCCCTCCCGCATCCACTTTCCTATAACCACAAACTTCTGCTGAACACTCCAACACTACATTCTTAAACCTACCCCAAACTCCTTCAACATCATTGCCTATATTTTCACTAGCCCATCTATCCTCCAGCAGTTGTTTATATCTTACCCTAACTGCCTCCTCCTTTAGTTAATAAACCTTCGCCTCTCTCTTACTTTCTGCTTTCATTCACCTTGTATTCTATCTACCTTTTATCTGATATCACTGTGGGCTCTATAAATATGCACATCCTGAAGTCTACCCAATAGTCTTTAATCTACCAGTACACTGCCCAACAAACTACTGTTATTATGCCCTATATCATATCTTGTATACTTATTTATCCTTTTTTTTTTCCTTAACCCCTTCAGGGTCCAAGGCCAAAATCTGAAGTGGTGCCCCAGTGTCCTAGAATTTAAAAAAAAAAATTAGTTATCTTTTCTTATGAAATGCTTGAGAATCTTTTTGTGAAGGTAATAAAACAAAAAGTACGAAATTTGGTGGAAAATTGACGAAATTATGCTCTCGCGAATTTTGATGTGTCAGCGATATTTATGAATCGGCGATTTTGCCGACTTTGACTCCCATTTTAGGCCAATTACATTATTCCAGTCGACCAAATTCTTAGCTATTTCACTAGTATTACTTCTATTCTATCGATTGAGCACAAGAAATCGCCAAGTCAACTGTTTCAACTACAAAATAAAGTGATCGGAAGTTGGTAATTTGGCCAATTTAACACAAAGTTCAAAATATTCCAATTTCAAAATAGGGTCCAGAATAAACAATGTAGGTATTCCTGGCACTAAACTAACATTTCCTCTGCTCATTAGTTATGTTTTGAGGCTTTACAAATAGATTCCATTTTGATTTTTTATTCACAATGAATTTTTATTCACACCAAAAAATAGAAGATTTACTGTTATGAAATATTGTAATAATTGTATACATATCATCACTACATTTGTGAATGTATATTAGACCCACCAGCTGCCGTGTATTAGACGTGTGAGGTCGTTTGTTTACTCTTGAACATCAGCAAAAATTTAACATTTCTGCTACTTTGAGCTCAGTTTCAAGCCATTTCCAGTGCTAAAACCAATCAAAATCATCTCTATTTCTGTAACATGTCTTCCATTCTATCAAATGAGACCAAGAAATCGCAAATACAACTATAAAAAACACACGAAAAAACACTGCAAAGTCGCTGTTTTAATCGAAAATCATGGTCTCGGTTTTTTCTCTCATACACAGTGTGCTGCAGGATTTGTTTTATGTGGTGCACACATACCACATAGATGTATTCTCTCATATCTAGGCCCAAATGTACCACTCACAGTTTATCAGAGTGAGCTGAGCTCATGACATAGATCTACGGTTTGGACCCTGAACGTAAAGCCGTAGATCTACGGGACGGACCCTGAAAGGGTTAAAATATGTATTACCTATAACCAAACCCCTTTCTATACAAAGTTCAGTCAAAGATCCCCATTAACATTTACACTTGGCACCTCAAACTTACCTACCACACCCTCTCTAAATGTTTCTCCTACTTTAGAACAAAATATGTATACAAATGGATAAATTTAGATTTAAAAATGATATAGGAATATACTGGTTTCAGCAAGAGTTGCTAATGAGTGCAACACACTGTCAAGTTGGATTATAGAAACTATAATTAGTGAACAAAATTTAGCATTTCATCCAAGTTGTTTTAGCCTAACTTTGATGCACTGTGATGATTCTCAGCTTGATTGTTCTCTTTAACTTTGAGGTTTTTGGAAATCTTAAATCTTATAATCAATATTTTAGCTATTTAGGCTGCAGAACCACATGATATATGCCACCTAACAATCATAGGTATTATATTATGCAAAAAAAAAAAAAAAAATAAAAAAATAACAATACACAAATAATAATCATAGATATTATATTATGCATAAAAATTAAAAATACACAAATAACCCACACATAAGACAGACAGGAGCTTACGATAACATTTCATTCTGACTTAGACCATTTACGAAGTCACAATGAGGGAAGGTGGCCTGAAAAAGAAACGCTTTCATCATCATTCACTTTATCACTGTCTTGACAGAGGCATGTAGACACTATAGTTTAGATGCCCTTCCAAAACTGCAAAGATCCCCACCCCTCCTTTAGAGTGCAGGCACTGTACTTCCCACCTCCAGGACTCAAGTCCAGCTAACCTGTTGCTCTGAGTCCCTTCGTAAAATGCTCCCTTGCTCACAATCCAACAGCTCATCAAGGTCCCATTGGCCTCCACTCCTACTGAACATGCCTGCTGGATGTCCAAGCCCTTGCACACACAAGCTCCTTTACCCCCTCCCTCCATCCATTCCTAGGGTGACCCTTACCCTGCCTTAGTAACTGTGCACCTCCTGGTAATCTCCAAACTACAAATTTTATGTATGATATTTACACCAAACATAGCCCTCAGACACGACATCTCCAGTGCTTCCAACCTCCTCCTTGCTGCAATTTTCACAATCCATGCTTCACACCCACATAAAAGTGTGTCGGTACCACTATACTCATACATTTCCCTCTTTGCCTCCACAGATAATGTTCTTTTTTTTTCACAGATACCTCAATCCACCACCCACCTCTTTTTCCTTCATCATATCTGTGGTTCACCTTGTCTTTCATATAACCATCCACTGACAAGTCCACTTCCAGATATCTGAACACATTAACTTCCTCCATACTCCCTCCTTCCAATCTGATATCCAATTTTTCATTACCTAACTTGTTTGTTACCCTCATCACCTTGCTCTTTCCTATGTTCACTTTCAACTTTATTTCTTACACACCCTCCCAAGTTAGTCCACTAACCTTTGCAATTTCTCTTCAGAGTCTCCCAAAAGCACAGTGTCATCAGCAAAAAGTAACTGACAATTCTCATTTTGTATTAGACTCAACATATTTTAATCTCACACCTCTCCTTAACACCCCTGCATTCACTTTTTTTTACAACTCCATCTACAAATATGTTAAACAATCACGGTGACATCACACATCCATGTCTAAGACCTGCTTTCACTGGAAGGTAATCTCCCTCTCTCCTGCATACCCTAACTTGAGCCTCACTATCCTCATGAAAATTCTTAACAACACTCAGAAACCTACCACCTATTCCACACACTTGCAACATCTGCCACATTGCTTCCCGATTCACCTTATAATATGCCTTTTCTAAATCCATGAAAGTGTGCCAGTGTGGTCAGCACACCAGTCTGCGAGTTTTAGGACTCACCCACTGTGGGTTCGAGTCTTTACCCATTCTGTGATCTGTTTGCAACTGTATTATGATTTCATGAGTCATGAGTGAGAACTTGCCTAACATGAGTCAGCAGGCCTGCTCCAGCACTCCTCCATTCTTATGTTCTTATGATACAGGCTATTTATTTAATATGGTATAGGATAGAAGAATTTATAGAAAGAGCTAATTCAATATGAAAATTAACCTTAAAGCATAGGTATTTGTATGTTCATAAATTCTTTACTATCATTAGCAAGCACAGTTTGCATTTGGCTAACAATATTTTTGGAACCATTAATCAGCATCATTAAACAAGCTTGTATATAGTTTAAATACTGTTTAATAATATAAAAAGAAATGAGAAGGTACTTACTGATCCCTGGATATGTTGTCCAAATAAAATATGGTATCTCAGATTCACCTTACAAAAAGTTAATTTTACTGCTTTTATGAATATCAACTAAAGGAGAAAATTAGGGTTTATCCAGGCTGAAGTGTTCATTATGGGACATTAAATATTCAGCTTATCTGGCTTCAGATTAATGGGATTCGACTGTGCAAACATTTCCGTACAGACAATGTAAATTATCACTGCAAAACATGTGCAACAACTCGTTATATTGGACATTTTTCATATAAAAGTTAAAGTTTTAATTCTTGTGCATTAATTAATGCTACACTAAATCTTACCTAATTTTGTTATTTTCTATTCTAGTGCAATTTAAATAAAATTCCATATAAAATAAATAAACCTGACAGAGAAAATAAAAAAAATTTAAAAACTCAATGTACTGTACATGCTTTGATATTTATTTTTTTTTTTTTTTTACAATACTAGGGGTGTGAAAAGATTGAATCAGATCTTGGAGATTTTACTGAAATTAACTTGGCAGTGTTTTGGACATCATTAATATAGTGTGGAAAAGTACAAATACTAACAAGTTTTGAGAAGAAATTTCATGACCTTCCCAGCTTTGTACATTTAAATGGTCAACTGGGTATGGGTACAACAACCCGTCATAATAAATATGGCTATAGTATCCCTCAATACTTTAACCTGAAATATCAGAATATAAAAATTTCATTATCTTATTAGAAGTCACTTTATACAAGATTTTTTAAAAAATTTTGACTACAGAGTAACCTAAATAAAATCCTCAGTTCATGTCAAAGCCTGTCATATAAATCTTAAACAGATGAATAAAAACTAAATGGGTGTTTAATATAAACTGTGTAAATCAGATCTTCAGTACATTAAGACTATGCATAGTTAATGACAAGCAGGAGTAGTGCTCATCTTTATAACATCCAACGAAAGATTTGTGTATAGCAATCTGTTACAACTACATTTGCACTGGAATCTGAAACTTAAAATTAACCCACTACATGTGAAGGCTAGACTCCATCGACTCTGATGTGGGTAGTGTAGCATGGGGGTACGTGTAGGACAGAGCTGCTGGATGAGGAGCACCTTGACTCATCTCAAGGCGTCTTAAGTAGGTGGGATCAGCAGCTGCCATATGGTGTGGCAAATATGCCTGACCAACATGGGGTGGCATTACTGTTGGGTAAGAGTACTCTTGAGGCAAGTATTGGGCAGCACTCGGAAGTTCAGCCTTAACTAAATTTTCATGAGATAACTTAAAACTCTTATCAGATATAGTTGCCGGAGAGGAGGAGGAGGATGGAAGGCTTGGTGTTGCTGCAGGAGTTGGGGTTGCAGAACTGGATACTTGAGGCTGCTCACTCAATCTTGGGATTGATTTATCTTGTCTGCTAAAGTATGATGAAGTATCACTATCTCTTTTCCCATCCTTATCAGATGTCTGCTGAGCCTGTCCAGGAGATGTGTATGTTGTTCGACGAGATTCTTTCGAGGGAGCCTTCTCAACAGTGACATTAGGAGTCACCATTGGGGGTCCTTTGTCCTTTTCTCTATCTGATTTCTCGATTGACACTAGAGCTCTAGGCGATTCAGAAAACCGACTCCTGCGCCTCTGAGCACCATTGCGTTTCCCAGGCCCTCCAAACTTTTCTTGACTACGATATATACGCGATTCAGTGTTAAGTTTTCGGCGGATTGCATTTCTTACTTGCTTTTCGTCTATAGTAGGAAAGTTGCGGATGGCATCATCTGACAAGAGAAAAGAAAAAATGTACTAATTTCAGTGTAAATTTGAAACTTAACACCTAATTAAATTGCACCCAAAATGTCCAGAGTATACTATTTGCAAGACTCAAATTATACAATGTCTACAGAAGACACTTTCAATGAGAAGACTATTTACAAAACCCCTTATCGTACAATATACAGAGAAGAATCTTTGCAAGAACGACCACCCCATACACAACATGCAGTAAACCCTTGATATAATGGACCTCAATATATTGAACTTTTAATCTTTTCAGGGTTGATCCCGTAATATTATGGCTTTGAAGCCAGGGTTGGTCCAGTAATACTATGCCAAAATTCTAATGGCTTCCAAAATTGTGAGAGAAAGCTGGTAGGTATACAATATGAGAGAATGGGTCTGTGTGGTCAGTGTGCGCAGTATAAAAAAAAATCCTGCAGCATGCAGTGCATAATGAGAAAAAACTGCAACCGTGTTTTTGGTGTAAAACAGTGAATTTGCAGTGTGTTTTTGTATTCTCAGTTCCTTGGTCACATTTGATATAATGGAAGATATATTACAGAAATATAGATGATTCTGAATGGTTTACATACTAAAAGTAGCTTGAAATTGAGCTCAAAGTAGCAGAAATGTTCAACATTTTTGCCATGTTTGGATGAAAAACACTCAATGCTCCAATACACGTCAACTGGCTGATTTAATATACAGTCAGATGCACTGATTTATACATTTAAATCACATATTGCGTAGTCTAATAACAGTAAATCTTTATTTTTGTGCGAAAAATTGAAAATGAAAAGCAAGTAATAAAAGAGGGGTCTGAGACTGTTACAACAGAAAATGTTAATTTGGCCAAGGAATGTACATATTTATTTTTGAACCCTATTTTGAATTTGGGCCTTTCTTGAATTTGTGTGAAACTGCAAATTGTAATTATGATCACTTTATGGATATGAATAGTATAATTGGTTTCTTGTCACTCAACTGATAGAATAAAGAGTTCTTTAATTTGTATGAAAGTTGACTGAAAAAGGAATTGCCAAAATATGGTTGCAAAGCTGAATATCGCCGAATGTATTATACAGGGACCTCGTTCAACTTTTTTACCATAGTTGATGTTTCAAGGTGTCAGTACTGGCCGAATTTTTATCCTAATGAGTAAATAGATATTGTGAAGTAGATTGCCCATTTCGACACCAAACATACGGGTCTTGCAAACACTTACATTGTTGACTAACATGATATTGGTCGCAATTGGGTGAATCGTTAAAGCCGGGGTACTTATTGCCAAAATCGTTAACTTCGCAAGAGCATAATTCCGTAAATTTTCTAACAAATTTCGTGGTTTTGGTTTCATTACCTTCAGAAAAAGATTCTCTATCATTTCACAAGAATTTTTTTTTTGTTTTCAAAAATTCTTCGACCCTGGGAGCCAGTTTGAGAGCAGAGGTCTCAACCTTCAAAGGGTTAAATTACAGGCAAAGCCTGCTGGCTAAACTGTGCTTTCAACTCCTTTATTTTCAATGTCCTTGCAGTATAACCATAAACTGTGTGTACAGTACTGTACAGTGGTCCCTCAAGATATATTTATCTGTTCCAGAAGACGCATCATATCTCAAACCCCAAAATACACGGTCTTAGGATAATTTGTTCCAAGATGCCACAAGACAACCAACCCTCCCTTGGATTCTTTTTCTTGTTTAAACACTGGGTTTTTTTGAGTGATAAACAAGCATCGGCTGCAGCTTCAAATATCCAGAGGCATTGGCACTGAACAGCAAAGTAAGCCTATCTTTCAAAGGGTTATGCCCAGGCAAAGTGGCAGGAGAGAGCAGGGTAGGAAGGACAAGGCAGAGGAGGCAGAGCAGACAGGTAAGCAATATAAAATGAGGAAGTCAGTCCCTCAGCCTTAGAAAGAGTTCAGTCTCTTAGCCCTGACCAATTTGAAGCGGAAGCAGGAGGATGAACACTTATATACTGGAGCCACAAGAGAGGGTTTCAAATTGAAACCATCATACAGTTTCTAAAACATACCAGAGTTAATGTTTTTTTCAAGATTAAAAACTTTTCTTGCATATGCTTTCTTAAGAATCTCAGCACTAACATGCTTTGCGACAATTCATGAAATTTAACTCTTTAAGTGTCTAACATACTGGTACACAGGTGATGTCAATGTGTCTGATTTACTAGAATGCACAATTTTTCATACCATCACATCTGGCACCTGCCAATATTTTTGACCTCAGCAAACTCTCTGGGTCTTCTACAAACTGTTAATACCTCTGAAAAACAATCTAAGGCCAGGCAGGTCCACACAGTGCATCATGGTTTACTACATATGATGACTGTGTGTCCGATGTACTAGTACGCCTAACTCGGGGTGTGGAAGTGGCACGAAGACAGTTTATTCATTCCAAATTTATTACAATTTTATGATACTAACCCAGAATAACACAAAATCTATGTGGCTTATTTCTATGTTTCAAGGAGTACTACACCTGGAAACAATTTTAATATAGAATTTTTTTGCAAATATATATTTTATAGTAGTCTGGAAGGCATACAGGTGTTATGGACACACACAATGTTTATATAACCAAAGATATTTCCTCAAAATCTATACATGTAACATAAATAATTAACCTAGGATAACCAACATAGTCAAATAATGCAACTTAATTCCACATTCTGAGTATTACACATTGAAACAACTCTAACATTATAAATATCCCTTGTGCATAATTTTATTAGACCAAAGAAGTAAAAAATAGAATAAAAACTAATTACGTTGCCAATTCTTCTTCTTTCAACAAACCGGCCATATCCCACAGAGGCAGGGTGACCTAAAAGGAAAAAATGAAAGTTTCTCCTTTTCAATTTAGTAATATATACAGGAGAAGGGGTTACTAGGCCTTTGCTACTGGCATTGTAGCCACCTCTTACAACATGAATGGCTTACAGAGGCAGAATTCTGTTCCACTTCTCCATGGAGGTAAGAGGAAATAAACAAGAACAAGAACTAGTTAGAAAATAGAAGAAAAGCCAGAGGGGTGTGTATATATATATTCTTGTACATGCATGTGTAGTGTGATTTAAGTGTAAGTAGAAGTAGCAAGATGTACCTGAAATCTTGCATGTTTATGAAAGAGAAAAAAGACACAAGCAATCCTACCATCGTGTAAAACAATTACAGGCTTTTACGCTCACATGGCAGGACAGTAGTATCTCCCTGGGCAGTTGCTACCTACTACCTAGGTTATATTACCAATATATATTGTATATTCCAAGTGGAGCAATGTCAAGTTAAGCATTTTCCCATGTTTGAAGTGCTAAAACATCTTGAAACACACCTAATATTATAAAAACTAGTGAACAGTATTAAACATTTAAAAATGAAAAACAATCATAATTGAACAGAGTGAGGCTCAGGTTAGGGTGTGTAGGAGAGAGGGCGATTACTTCCCAGTAAAAGTAGGTCTTAGACAGGGATGTGTAATGTCACCATGGTCATTTAACATTTACAAATGGGGTTGTAAAAAAGTAAATGCTAGGGTGTTGGGAGAGAGGTGGGATTAAATTATGGGGAATTAAATACAAAATGGGAGTTGACACAGTTACTTTTAGCTGATAAAACTGTGCTTATAGGAGATTCTAAAGAAAAGTTGCAAAGGTTAGTGGATGAGTCTGGAAGGGTGTGTAAAGGTAGAAAGTTAAAAGTGAACATAAATAAGAGTAAGGTGATGAGGGTATCAAGCGATTTTGATAAAGGAAAATTGGATATCACATTGGAGGGAGGGAGTATGGAAGAAGTGAATGTGATCAGATATTTGGGAGTTGACTTGTCAGCAGATGGGTTTATGAAGGATGAGGTTAACCATAGAATTGATGAAGGAAAAAAGGTGTCTGTGGAGACAAAAAATGTTATCCATGGAGGCAAAGAAGGGAATGTACGAGAGTATAGTGGTACCTACACTCTTTTATGGGTGTGAAGCATGGGTTGTAAATGCTGCAGCAAGGAGGCTGGAGGCTGTGAAGATGTCATGTCTAAGGGCAATGTGTGGTGTAAATATTATGCAGAGTTTCTCTGTGTGGAAATTAAGAGATGTGGAGTTACTAAAAGTACAGTGGACCCTCAGTTAACGATGCTATTGGACAGCGATAAAATCGGATATTGATGTGTTTTTGCATCAAAATATTGGCTCGGCTAACAATGAAAAACTCAGTTAAGGACATTCGTCCCGAATGTGTCTGCGCAGCCTGAGCCCATGTAAAGCCAGTGTGCCATTGTTTACAAGCCAGGGAGGAAGTTTCCACGCGTACATGCAATATATTTTATATTATTCCATTGTTTTTAGTGATTGTAACTGCTAAATAAGCCACCCTGGGCCCAAAAAAGTTTCTAGTGCCAGCCCTGTAATAAAGAAGAAACACAATAAAATTCTAGAAAAAACTCGTAGCAAATTACCCAAGTGGAGGAGGAAGAGAGAGGGGAGAATGTGCCTTCTGCAGTGATTCAGTGATTCTACGATCTGCATGATACTAAAGCAGCAGGTATCGATAAAGGCTATAGTGCCAGCCAGCGATAAAGTGTAGAATTAACAGTGTAGCAAGTAAGTTAAGTGAGTATGCGACAGGAAAACGACACGAAAGTAACTCTCCAATGTTGTTGGATGTGTATCAGGCCAATGAACATTTGCCAGCCTGCTACGTATCTTCTGCCACCTAAACCTCTGTCAGCATCTCCTCCATCAAACTAACAAACTAAACTAACATCTCCAAGGTAAGTGTAAATATAAAAGTTTGAGTATAAAAGTAAATAAGTGCAAATATAAAAGGACCCCAATGGAAATACCTAAGTCACTCTGGCTTTTTTGGGTTATCCTAGGTACTTTACACATATGCTGCTATGTATGATAATCTATGTAACTGCATTTGTGTATGCCTGAATAAACTTACTTATTTATTTATAAATTAAAATGTAAATATTTCTTGTTTATAAATTACATACATATATTGTTTGTGGATAGTGGTGGTGGCAGAAGCCTCCTCCACCACTAATATGTACGGCTTCTCTCAGTGGCCATTATAAACCCAACACGAACACCACCAACATTTACTCCTCACATACATTATGACATATTTTATTCATTCTAGAGTATATATCATGTTTCTATGTTATTAATATTGTTTATTATGTCACATTAGATGAATTGTGATAGATAAATAAGCCGTAGAGTTGATAATAGCGTCATATTGAAGTACTATCCTGTCATACCTACTGACAGCAGGAACGGATTAATTGGATTTCCATTATTTCTTATGGGGAAAATTAAATCTGATAACGATAAAATCAGTTAAGGACAAGCTCTCTGGAATGGATTAATATCATTAACTGAGGGTCCACTGTGTTAGTCAGAAGGCTGAAGAGGGATTGTTGAGGTGGTTTGGTCATTTAGAGAGGATGGAACGAAGTAGAACGTCTTAGAGAGCATATAAATCTGTAGTGAAAGGAAGGCAGGGTGCGTGAGGGTGTTAGGAGTGAATGGAGATAAATGGTTTTTGGGACCTGACAAGCTCTTGGAGTGTGAGCAGGGTAATATTTTGTGAAGGGATTCAGGGAAACCCATTAGCTAGACTTGAGTTCTGGAGGTGGGAAGTACACTGCATGCACTTTGAAGGAAGGGTTTAGGATATTGGCTGTTTGGAGTGACATTTAACTGTTGTTTCTGAGTGCCTCTGCAAAGACAGTGATTATGTACGAGTCTGGTGAAAGTGTTGAATGATGGTGAAATTTTTTTGTTCTTTCTTTTTGGGTCACCCTGCCTCTGTGGGAAACAGCCAACATGTTAAAAAAAATATTGTAAAACGTAAACATCGCTAGCACATTTATGCCATTATTGCCAATGAGTGATCATTTTTTCACCAGTTTCAACATGCCATAAAATCGTAAGTTTTATCAGATTCCATTCATTTTAGTTTGATTTGATTCATAAAACTGCACTTCTTTATTCTATAAGATTTTTTTTTTTAAATCTTGCCACCCAATGAATTTTTTCCCAGACATGCTTCAGTTAAGGGGTTAGGTTGTGAACACTTGGTACCCAGTCCTTAGCTGAAAGTCAAAATGCAAACTAAATTTTTTCTGAAAATGGCCTCAATGAATTTCCTCAAATAAGAGAAAATAATGGTGTCATTCTCAATGATATTAAACACTAAGGAACTCTTACTATTATTTTGTAACTCTGAAAGCACCTACGTGTGATAACTCTGATGATACAAGGGTCAAGCTGATTTTTGTTCGAAGGTCCCTTGTCTTTGTTGGCAAAGCATTCACCACCTGTGAGAGATGACGATGCTAGAACTTCCATGGGAAAGAAGTACCGTAGAAGGTCATTGATATACCGGTTTGCATTGGTACGTCTGAACTTGAAGTAATCACTGGCATGTATAGTCACTCCTCCACCCAAATCAAGCTGGAATGCAGATATTCCTTAATAAACATGGTAGTCTAGGCTTTGTAAATTTATTATCTCAAGATTATGTGTGAGCACAAAGGTATATTTTTGTAAATAACTAGGTTAAATAGATTTCCAGTACATGAATCTCTTCTTCTGTGCACAAGAGAGTTTATTCTATAACTAAATATAGCTTGACAACAAGATAGCACTTTGAATGCAGCTGACTGGGGTTTACTCCAATCATGAAAATATGGAGAGGCAGATAGAATGTATTTACTTATCAAGAAAACTTGAAGAAAAAATATTACAATTGACTAGTCTAGAAAATACAGAGCTTAGAAAAAATAAAGAGCAAAGCTTTTACATTACATGAGACAATCTTTATTTATAAAGTACAATGGTACCTCGAGTTACAAACTTAATTCGTTCCAGAAGGCTGTTCGAGTGCCGATACCGAATGAATTTGTTCCCATAAGGAATAATGTAAATTAGATTAGCCTGTTTCAGACCCCCAAAAATACACTTACATAAATGTTCGAGTTGGGAGCTGTTTGAAACTCGGGGTACCACTGTAAATATGAAGAGTAATAATGACTTATTTGAGGTAACGGCACCAGCAGCAGTGTGGCACAAGGATGGGTGAATCACCTGATTATGATTATAATCTAAGATTCTAAGTGATTTGCCAAAAGAAAATAACTAAAATTACCAATCTGACTTTAAGCACAGGAGGGATAAGCAGAGTTCCAACTTCTGGTCTCATCTTTCAACTCTCACATCACATCTAGCTTTGAACTCCCATATGCAGTGTGCTTCCACTGTCACTACTCAGCTCATTCCACTTATTTAGCACCTTCATATTGAAGCAATACCTCCAAATATCCCTGTGGCTCATTTGAGTGTGTAATTTTTAAAATCACACTCTCTTGCTCTTGAATTCCTGATTAAATACTTATCCTTGTCTATCCAGTCTATATCCAGTAGTAATTTAGGTTGTGATCATACCCCATCTCGTTCTTCACTCCTCCAGTGAGATTAGGCTTAGGAATAGTTCTGTATATTATTATGTATATTTCCTGATAATGCAAAACAAAGAAAAACTAGTAGTCAAGTCTGTAAATTTTTGCAAGACTAAAATTAACTGAGCAAATAGTGATTGATGATCATGGAATTTAATGTATTATTATTTACATAGGGAAGCTCTAAACCCACAGGGGTCATGCAGCACCTGAGGAATGACATAATTAGCCTTGATCCATGAGGTGGAGAACAGCTCAAATTTCTTGGCACAAGAGCCCTTCACTGGCATCATCCCACATCCACCTCAAAGGAATTAAGCTCATTTATTTAGGAGAAACAACGACTATTTTAGCTGAGCATTCTCCCTCCAATCTTATATCCAATCTGGATATCAGATTGGAGGGAGAGAGTATGGAGGAGGTGAATGTATTCAGATATTTGGGAGTGGACGTGTCAGCGGATGGGTCTATGAAAGATGAGGTAAATCACAGAATTGATGAGGGGAAAAGGGTGAGCGGTGCACTTAGGAGTCTGTGGAGACAAAGAACTTTGTCCTTGGAGGCAAAGAGGGGAATGTATGAGAGTATAGTTTTACCAACGCTCTTATATGGGTGTGAAGCATGGGTGATGAATGTTGCAGCGAGGAGAAGGCTGGAGGCAGTGGAGATGTCATGTCTGAGGGCAATGTGTGGTGTGAATATAATGCAGAGAATTCGTAGTTTGGAAGTTAGGAGGAGAGTGCGGGATTACCAAAACTGTTGTCCAGAGGGCTGAGGAAGGGTTGTTGAAGTGGTTCAGACATGTAGAGAGAATGGAGCAAAACAGAATGACTTCAAGAGTGTATCAGTCTGTAGTGGAAGGAAGGCGGGGTAGGGGTCGGACTAGGAAAGGTTGGAGGGAGGGGGTAAAGGAGGTTTTGTGTGCGAGGGGCTTGGACTTCCAGCAGGCATGCGTGAGCATTTTTCATAGGAGTGAATGGAGACAAATGGTTTTTAATACTTGACGTGCTGTTGGAGTGTGAGCAAAGTAACATTTATGAAGGGATTCAGGGAAACCGGCAGGCCGGACTTGAGTCCTGGAGATGGGAATTACAGTGCCTGCACTCTGAAGGAGGTGTGTTAATGTTGCAGTTTAAAAACTGTAGTGTAAAGCACCCTTCTGGCAAGACAGTGATGGAGTGAATGATGGTGAAAGTTTTTCTTTTTCGGGCCACCCTGCCTTGGTGGGAATCGGCCAGTGTGTTAATAAAAAAAATAAATAATTTTTCCTGCCTTCAAATTTTGCACGATTGGCCTGAGATGCCTTGTCAGCATAGAATAGGTCTTAACACTCAGTGTGCACCATATTAAAAAAATCTGGGACCACTTAGTACCTTGTGGGAGCACCAATTCAAATGAGCGCCAGCTAGAGCAAACAGCGTGGCAAACACCTGGGATTCACCGATATCATGTAGTATTAACTCTCCCATTTTAAGAGGAAAGTGATTTTGACCTCAAGTTTAATGGCTCTGAGGTGGATGTGGCCATAAGGGGTCGAGGAAATATAAAAAAAACCTCGACAATAACCCATGTGCAATATTTGTGCAACACCCTCTCAGAATGTCTTATAACCTATGCCCTAAGTAAAGAGAAACAATTCTGGAATGTAATACTTGTTCAGCAGGCTGGCTGAATGATTGGCTGGCTGGCTTTCTGGCCAGCTGCTGGCAGCCTGACTCTATCTCTGTTTGTCTGTGTATCTATGTCTCTGTCTCTCTGTCCATCTTTGTCTCTGTCTCTATCTGTCTCTGTCTATCTGTCTTTGTCTATCTGTCTCTGTCTCTATCTGTCTGAGCAAGTGACACTGCTATTACTTGCATCATGTTCATTTATGTCTTATATCTACACTGTATAGCACTTTGCCTGGAATTTTTGGGTTATCCTAAGTAATTTGCACTATGTATAATAACTGTAGTAGGTAGTAGGTTGGTAGACAGCAACCGCCCAGGGAGGTACTACCGTCCTGCCAAGTGAGTGTAAAACGGAAACTTTTAATTGTTTTACATGATGGTAGGATTGCTGGTGTCTTTTTTCTGTCTCATAAACATGCAAGATTTCAGGTATGTCTTGCTACTTCTACTTACACTTAGGTCACACTACACATACATGTACAAGCATATATATACACACCCCTCAGGGTTTTCTTCTATTTTCTTTCTAGTTCTTGTTCTTGTTTATTTCCTCTTATCGCCATGGGGAAGTGGAACAGAATTCTTCCTCCGTAAGCTATGCGTGTTGTAAGAGGCAACTAAAATGCCGGGAGCAAGGGCCTAGGAACCCTTTCTCCTGTATAAATTATTAAATTTAAAAAGAGAAACTTTCGTTTTTCTTTTTGGGCCACCCTGCCTTGGTGGGATACGGCCAGTTTGTTGAAAAAAAAAATAATAACTGTATTTATGGGTGCATGTGAGAGACAGAGATACATATAGACAGACAGACAGACAAATATAGACCGAGACAGCCAAAGTCAGCCGGCCAGTCTGCCGAATACATAAGAACATAAGGAGGAGGGAACAACGCAGCAGTCCTACTGCCCCATGCAAGGCAGATCCATGTCACCCCCTGGCTTAGACCAATTGACCCACCTAGTCAGGTCACATCCACTGAAGGAAGGAGCATGGCATCTGACCTAGTAGCACAAGCTAGTCAGGTCCAACTCACACCCACTCATGTATTTATCTAACATATTTTTACTTTCCTCTTAAAATGGGAGTATAAATACAACACGACATCAGTAAATCCCTGGTGCTTGCCACGCTATTTGCTCTAGCTGGCACTCAATTGAACTGGTGCTCCCACAAGGTACTAAGTGGTCCCCGATTTTTTTCATACTGCACACACTGAGTGTGCAGACCCATTCTTTCATGTCTAGGCAACTCAGGCCTATCGCACCAAATTTGAAGGAATGAAAAATAAAATGCTGATCTACGTTCGGAGCACTGTGCACGTGCACCTAGATCTAAGTGTCGACAGTTTAAGGGTTAAGTACCACTTACTCTAATTTACTCGTCTTCATTGAAAATATCCTACCTCTTCTAACTTTGTTATACCCATTGCTAAGACATCCAGCATTCTTTCATTCATACCAGTAATAAGTTTTTCTTAACATCAGCACCATGTTTACTCACTTTCAGAAAGCCCAACTTCAAAAATTTCTTTTTCTTTTTTGTAACTATTTTTTATTCATCTTCTATGACATTAATAGCATTGGAACATAGAATTTTAACTAGCTTTTCCACTGAACTGAAAAGGAAACAATAAAGGAATAAGAACTATTAGAGCAACAGAGAGAAGTAAAGACAAATAAGAACTTTGCAAGATTTACCTAAAATCTTCCATGCTCATAAAACACACTGTGAACCTCTCACAGCTGATCCATTTTAACTCTTTGAGGGTCGGTCACATACAAGTACGTCATTGCAGCCAGGGTCAGTCACGTACAGGTCTCCCTCAACATTCGCGAGGGTTAGGGGATCAAGAGCCTCGTGAATGTTGAAAAACCGTGAATGTTTGGTGCCCCAATATATTGTAGGGAAATATATTACAATACTGCTTCCTTAACTTGTTGAACCATGAATAATCATAAAATACATGAAAACGTCGTAAATTGTACTAAATATATACATGTTATGCTTCAATAATGTATGTTATTTAATAACATGTATGTTAATAACATGTATGTTATTAAATACCACTGCCTCCGCCACTGCCTCCACCACTGCGAGTCCCTACTACCCTCCCTCCAACCCCCGCAACTTGCAGCCAGCCCTCCCACCACTCAGTGTGGCGAGTGTTTTGTTTGTTCATTATTTGCTATTAAACTACAGAATAAATAATGTAAACCCATTCATGACTGCATATTGGAATGGCTATTAGGAAAGGTATTAGACGGTGACATCATGTGTTTACTCTTGAACACAGCAAAGAATCGAGCATTTCTGCTATTGCTATTGCTAT